CGGGGCGTGTCCACAGGCCCTGCTGACTCTGAATGGGCAGCTGCTATGCGGGGGGACACTGGTCGACGCTGGGTGGGTGGTCTCCGCTGCCCACTGCTTCGACAAGATCAGGAGCTGGGAGAACCTGACGGTGGTGCTGGGTAGGTCTGGGCCAGGGGGCTTCGGGCGGGGCCAGGGCCAGGCACCCCTGACCACTGCCTACCACCAGCCTTTGCGGGGAGGGGAGCCCTCGGACCCCGCGTTCGTGGAGGTGGGGCCCAGGCGTGTGCTCTCCCGCAGGCGAGCACGACCTCAGCCATGTGGACGGCGACGAGCAGGTACGGCGGGTGGCGCGGGTGACCGTCCCCGACGCCTACGTCCGGGGCAGGACCGACCATGACCTGGCCCTGCTGCGCCTGCGCCGGCCGGCCTTGCTGACCGCACACGTGGTGCCCCTGTGCCTGCCCGAGCGGGACTTCTCGGAGCGCACGCTGGCCTTGGTGCGCTTCTCGGCGGTCAGCGGCTGGGGCCAGCTGCTGGACAGGGGCGCCACGGCGCGCAAGCTCATGGCCATCCACGTGCCCCGCCTGATGACGCAGGACTGCCTGGCGCAGTCCCGCACCCGCGCGGCCATCACCGACAACATGTTCTGCGCCGGCTACCTGGACGGCAGCAAGGACGCCTGCAAGGGGGACAGCGGGGGCCCCCACGCCACCCCCTTCCGCGGCACCTGGTACCTGACGGGCGTGGTCAGCTGGGGCGAGGGCTGCGCGGCCGCCGGCCACCTGGGGGTGTACACGCGGGTGTCCCGCTACACCGACTGGCTGGCCGGCATCATGGGCTCCGAGGCCCGGCCCCTCTCGGGGGGCCCCCTCCTGCGCGCCCCGCTGTCTCCGCGCCCGCCTCCCACACACGCTGGGTCCCCACCCAGCCCCCCTGGGCAGCTGACGCCCACCCGCCGGCCCCCCAGCGCACAGCCAACGCCCTCTGACCCGGGCAGCGGCCACCCCAAGCCTACTCCGCCTTGAAATAAAGCCGCAGCTGCTCAGCGTCCGGGCTGGCCCCTCACTTCCTGGGTGGCCCGGGGTTGGGGTGGGGGACAGAGCCGAGCCCAGGCCCCGGGCGGCTCGGGCA